TTTTCACTTTTCATTTTAATGTATTTGTGTTTAATTATTGTACTTCAGTTTTTCAGTTAAACAATAATTGCAACAAAAAGTCGAAATTGAGCACAAAATAATTGTATGAATTAAAAATAATTTAAAAAAAATCGTTCAATTTATTGTAAAAGGATTTTTAAATTTCAGCGTTCTATGATTGACTTTATTTAAAAAAAAGTAGCTTTGTTTCTAATAGAAAATAAATTTTGCACATGAGTTAAGCTAAGTCTTAAAATTTTAATTTTAAATCCTTAAATCATGTTTCATTTCCGAAGTTTGAAATGACCGGCCATTTTGACTATTATTTGAGTATTGAAAACAGCTGCATATATTATAATACCAAAAAATAAACAAAAAAAATTCAACATTTGGGCAGTACTTAAACTAATAAAATGTCGACGAAATTTGGAAAGAAAAAATAGAAAAAAATGTTCGAATTTAAATAATAGAAAATATAATAAATTAGATAAAGTGAACTGTATTTATATATCCTATTCAATTGATATACAAACGTATTTATATTCGAAATAATATATTTCATAACGAAAAAATTAAAAAAAAAATGCTCTACGATAAACGTGACGTAAAAAGTTATTATGCTAAACTATTAAATTTTATTTAGTTTTTTATTGTATTTGCTATTAACAATTCTTTTCCATTTTTACTTTATGCATATGTGGATAGGCAAGATCACTCAAAATATAATACTTAAAAAGTAAAAAAGAAAAAAAATAACTGATAAAACAAAATCGAGACGCGTACGTTGTGTAAAGAATAACAGAAAAATAAATATTTTTTAATTTAATGATGATAAAAAAGAAATAAAATAATCCATATTAAAAAATTATTAATTTAAGTGAAATAAAAAAAAATGAAATATACATCAAATCAAAAAGGCTTTATATTATTACTATTATTATTATTAATTATAATTATAAAAGAGAAGTAATAATAAAATATGAAAAATAAATGAATCTTAACATTTCAAAATTCTTTGTGCAATTATTTCTTTTACGGTGATAATTTAATTGTTAGAAAAATTTGTGATCGCAACCTCGTAATGGTTGGAATTTTGCTTTAATATTCTATCAGTTTCGAGTATAGTGGAGATCCAATACTGAATATTACACCATTGAATAATTTTTCAACGAAAATCGAGTCGATTATCTGGTGCGGACCCGAATTTCTAAAATCAAAACATTTTTTATTGAATAATTTTCCCATGATAGTTAAGTCTACATAACCGGAATCCGTAACTGTAAATCAAAATAAAATAGATATATATTAAGGTTCGTTATCTATCTACTGCAAGCTCTAAAATGGCCGCTACTTTTGTTTTGAAGACTTTTTTTGAAAATTGCTCCTTGATTAAGTGCCTTCGTTATTAACATTGTACTTGAAACTAGAATACAACTGATTCAAMCCTCGGCAAATGCAATTTTTACTTTTTACTGCTATTTAATTTGATTAGCCATTTGAKTAGATATTGATAAGTCTATTTTTATGCTAATGTTGTTGTATATGTATATTTATTTGTATTTTTTATTGTTCATGAACAAATGTTAACAAATGACAAAACCCTATTTAACAACTAATAAATGCATTATTTATAATAATTTGTAGTCACCACAATAAAAAAGTATATAATTATTCACTGTATAGTTGTGTAAATGCAATTTTCCCTGGTACGATTGTTGAACGATTCAGCACTTCGAATTTTATTCAGCTTCCTCGTCTTCAAAGATAATAACTGCCGCATCTTTAGCAATATTATCGCCTTCAGCACCGCCAATTGACTTAATTTTGGCGTCCTGTGGTGCCTTAAGAATRTGTTCCATCTTCATTGCTAAAATTTGAAATATATTATTAGGACACCATACTCGATTCTTGTATTTTAAATATGAAGAAAAATTTTTGGGTTTTGTTGTCAAAACATATTTATGCTTGTAAACAAATATGTGTATTTAAAGAAATTTGAATGCAAAAATATTACATAAATTTATTCTTATTTATACTCACCTATCAGCACTGCTAGGCTGTCGCCCTTTTTCACCGTATCACCAGGTTTGACCAATACCTTCTCCAAAACACCTGGCATTGGTGCGACTATTTTGTTGCCACCGACGCCACTGTGTTGCTCGGAGAGAGCCTTTAAAAATTTCGGCTGTACGAGCTCAAAACTCAATTTGCCATTCTACAATTGAGAAGAGTTTTAGTAACAATGCGTTCAAATATTTTTTAGAAATAATTCAGAGTGCAACTATAGAAGAGATTTAACATATTTTTTTTTTTTAATAATGGAGAAAGGTCATGACGTCTCCTAAGTAGTATTACTCTTAGTTTTGGAACTTTTTTACTTACATCTAAAAAGAGCGTCACTTCTGTACCATCAATATTTRCATTGAATGTTGAAATGCTATCATCAATATTTGCTCTGATTTTCAGTCGCTCACCATCGGCAATGCGTTCGGATTTTAAACTCTTCCACGCACCATTATCGACTTGTACTTGCAGGGAGGACTTGTCATAGCGCACTTTTACATTGTAGACTATTTTTACGAAATATATGTAATTTAAATTAATTATCAAATAATTAAAACAAWCATATTTATGAAATTTCCTCACACCTTTATCATTCACTTTCAATTGGTAGCTTTTAATCAGCGAGTAATTTAAGCGTCCATTTGGTGTTGCATTGAATGGATCGTTTTTGCTAGCGTTGCTGCCGAAGACTTGCATTTCATTGAGTACCAAGGCGATAGCTGCCTTACAAAGTTGCTCAACTTTGATTTCGATAGGTGGAAAGAGTGTATCAAAATGCTGATCGATAAAACCGGTATGAACATTGCCCTGCTGGAATTCTGGATGAGCAGCCAAATCGATGAGGAAATTGATGTTTGTTTCAAGACCGGTGATCTGCAAGTAAAATTTTAAATTATTGTGGTTAACATAAATTTTACGATGAGTAGTGACTACGTACATGATATTCACGCAGTCGCGCAATCAAGCTATTCAACGCCTGCGTACGATTTTCGCCCCAAACAACTAGCTTGGCTATCATTGGATCGTAATGCACGGATACCTCGTCGCCTTCGCGTACGCCAGTTTCAACGCGTACAAACTCGTTCGGTTGTGGTGTGGCAAGATAACGTAAGGGACCAGCACCTGGTAGAAATCCACCACTGTATTAAAACAAAAAAAAAAATTGTAGTTAAAAATATATTTGAAAATAATAAAAAACCATATTGGGACCCACCGTGGGTTCTCAGCATAAATACGAGCTTCAAATGCATGTCCTTTTCGTCCGATTTCCTCTTGGGTCAGGGGCAAGCGTTCACCGGCCGCAATACGAATTTGCCATTCTACCAAATCGGTGCCAGTGATCATTTCCGATATTGGATGTTCCACCTGCAGACGTGTATTCATTTCCATAAAGTGAAATGAAAGATCTTCTTTGTCCATGATAAACTCCACAGTGCCAGCGCCAACATAACCCACAGCTTTGGCGGCACGCACTGCAGCTTCACCCAATTCGCGTCGTAGTTGTTCAGATAGACCAGGCTATGAGAAAAACATTTAATTAAACGGAATACTTATGAATATTTACATGGAAAATACTCACAGCCGGTGCTTCCTCGATAATCTTTTGATGCCGCCGCTGCACTGAACAGTCACGTTCCCACAAATACACCGCATCTCCATATTGATCGGCGAATACTTGCACTTCAACATGTCGTGGAGAACGTACATAACGTTCCAATAATACCGAAC